AAAAATAAGTATGAAAATAGAAGGGTAGAGAATCCACCTCTATATTTCTCACCTTCATTGAGTTGAACCCAAATTTCTGTAGTTCAACAAATGAGAACGAATCCTCAGTTCCACCTTCTAGTCTTGCCGGCTTGCCAGCCAGCAGATTTATGACCATTACAAATCTTGAAAATAAAATTGAAAAATAAATTTTTAATACGTTATGAACAACCACTAGTACAGTTTGATCACTTAAAACAAGCCACTTGTCAAAACAGTGACCAATATATATATTACAAAAATAGATTCATATAAAATCTACCCCAGATAACTTGGCAAATGCGTTGTTTGATCGTGATACGTAATCATTTTTCTCCTTTATATTTATTCTCTTTAACAAATAATAACTTTGAGAGAAAGGCACGTCGGATGTTTAGCTCAATCAGACTCTTTGGTTGTTCTTGTGTGACTTTGCAAAGTCCAAAGCCCTCCTCAGAACCTTACTCCCTTAGTATTAATCCACCAGATCCATGGGACTCTTGCCCTCCAAGCTCCCAACACTCTCCAGTTCTTATTCTTAGGGTTTATGTCCCTCCTTTAACACCTCTCTCTATATCTTCACCCCCAACATCTAACTTAATTTCCACATCTCTCAATCTTCTTCTTCATCACCAATAACACCGAGGTATGTTTCTTTATGCTTTTGTTGTTTTGTTTTATGGAACTTGTGCATGCGTATATAGAAATGTTCTCTTGTTAGACTGTATGTCAGATTAGAATACATGATATAGGAAAAATGTTCTTTTATCACACTGTCTAGCTACTTAACATGGCAAGGAAACATTACCCTACAAATTATGAATTCGATGCTTTGTTAATTTTCGTTCCTTTTCGTTTTTTAACCAATATGATTTCAGGAACAGAGCCAGGAATTTACTTTTTCGATCGTTATTTTGATGGGATTGAACGAGGAAGACAAAGAAACAATAAGTTACTTGGAACAACAAAGAATTGTGGAGACAAGAACAGCTTGCTTTTGGTCAGTTCTGGCGAGTGTGGCTGGAGGACTCATGTTAGGGTGGTGGGAGTATCAGTATCATCCTGCAAATAGGCAGCTGTGGATGGTGCCCTTTGGTCTCGTCCTATTTGCTACCCCAGCCATCGTTTGGTTCTCCGTCGTGGCCTCCGATATCTGTAATCCGAACGACCATTATGTTACGAGGGTGAGTCAACCCGTTCACCTCAATGACTCGGTGGTTCCGGCCAAAAAAGATGAGCAATGGAGTAACCATGTGGATCATGTATAGATATTAAAAAAATAAAACAATATAATATATATCGCCCACCTACAATTTGTTAACATGCGTGGAGTTTTTCTATAAGGGACCTGTTGACTATTAATTAATTTTTGTGGTTTATCTTGATATAGAATTACATTAGTAGTATGATTTAGTTTTGGTAGTTGCTGTATAAAGATTTAATATCTTTTTAAACCCAAATTTACTACCTAAATTACCCTCATAAATTTCATTCAAAATATATATTTATATTTACACTCATTCCTTAACAATTTTCTTGGTGAACTTGGACTTCACGAGCTTCTTGATCACCTTACTTCGGGGCTTTGCTATTACAAGCTGATAGATCAGAAGAAAGAATAAAGCATAAACTCATGATCAAACAAAAATATGAACTATATCAAACAAAACTAGTCTACCATAATATCATACCTTGAGACCCTTTCTACCTACATTTTTCTGGACCTCTTCAAGCATAGTGATCCCGCCAGTATCGATGCTTCCAACATCTGTAATTTGATTTTAATTTTAGCATTAGACTCGTAGTAAAGCTTAATGGCAGATATCGTAAAAGTTTAATTTGTGACCGTTGCAAATTGATCACTTACTGCCAATATCTATTATAACATACTGTAAGCTTGTTTCGCCAAAAGATTTTATCTTGTCTCCCTCCTCATGTATCACTTTGAGATCGTGTGGACCAGATTTTGAGCATAGATTAAATCTCTATCCCGCTGACTACGTTGTTTTCATACATCGATATCTAATTTGTATTTTATTACCTTTTCCTTAAATAGTTTGCATTAGCAAAAGTAGATATTGGTGCATCAATTTGAAGAATAATAACTCAGTGGAATATTATTCGACGTATGATCTATGCTTCCACAAATCGACGATGGGGTCTCATCACCGGACAAAGAGGATACTTGACATCTCCTTTCCTCAGCACGGCATTCAAGGTCATGGCTCCTCTGTTTGCTGTTTATCCAAGGCGTTTGGCTTCTATTGGAATTATTCTTTTGTCAAGTTTGAAGATTAAGCTGTACTTCCTCAAGATGAAATAGATATTGAGCCTTATATGCTTGAAAAAATATGGATGTCTAGTTTATGAAGAATTTTACGGTTCATGATTTTCGATTTTTCTAAAAGATGTTAGTGCTATTTTTAGTGCAGACAACACATAAAGATGATTTCTTGCGAATAAATGGCTCAGATAAATGTTGATTAATTGCGTGATGAAAGTAGGATAAACATTGTGTTATAGTAGAGTTTGATTATTTGGGATGTGGATTTATTGATAAATTTTGGTTTTATTATTAATTTCATCTTATACTTGATAGTAATTATGCAATAGAGTAAAAAAAATAATTCACAATTAAAATTTAAATTAAATGTAGAAAGAAATTATATAGATTCAAATAAAATTTTCCATTTAAAAATCACAAATAAGGGGGTTGGGTGGGATATGGGTCAGGTTTGTGTGGTTGTAATCACATCATTGATTCATTCATTGTTAAATAATATAAAAGGTAAGAGAGCTGTTGGGGAATCAAGTTTATATGATATAATATAAACAGGTTAAGAATGTTGCCTACCCTAGTATTGCATTGTCCCAAATAATATTGATGCTCATCGATAAAAAATCTTCCAGGGAATCTTCCCTTTCCTCGAGTAAAAGATTTTTTAGTGAAACTCTGAATGCGTGATTATTAAAAAAAAAATTTAAGTAAAACTTTAAATACGTGTAATCATTGAAAAAACCATACTTCTCAGGTACACGTAAACGTTGTACCATTTGTAGGAGTTGAAACTAACATTTAAACGGTTGGCTTCTATAGTCATCTTTTTATTGCTAAGGCTGATTTGATATTGTTGTACTTTGAACAAAAAATTGATTTTGTTGTACTGTGAGAATAAGTAGCTGTGAAATAAAGGCAGCATAGTGTTTGGTAAACTTTTTTGTAAAATTGCTTTTGAAAAAAAAAACAGTATTATAATGTTTGATAAACTTTTATGTAAAACAGATATGAAAAAAAGTTGGTTTTTCAAAGCTAGGTTTTGCAGCTTTGTGTTTTTGACTTTTTTTGACCCAACACTATGAAAAAAAGCTGAAGCTGAATGTTTACCAAATAGAAAAAAAATATTTTTTTTCAGAATCACGTTAATACCAAACTAAGGCTAAGTCATAGGCTACTCGGATTTTAATTGAAGGCTTATTTTATGACTTTGCACCTTGAACCTCTATTCACTTCATTTAAACGAGATTCTGTCAAATCAGTGAAAGTGGCGTCTACTTTGCTAATGTGGCCATGATACCTGCTAATTTTCTGATGTGGCAGTCACATCAACTTTTTTATGTCAATTGGTGGCACCCTCCCCCAATCCAAACCTTGCTTTCTGTCTCTCACTCTTTTCCTGGAAAAAGATCTTCTTTGATATCTTTCTCTAAAGATTACAAAACAAGTGATTTAGACTTTTAAAATTTGATTTAATGATTTAAAATTATTATAACTTTTAGAAGCCCGGATTTCAAAAACTGTTGGATTAAAATTCAAGAATCCGGATCACTTGATTCACGGACTTCGAAGGAAGAGATTCGGAAAGGATCCCTTTCCCTCTTCCCTAGCCCCATCTCCCAAGCCGCCCCCCAACTATGAGCACTCTTGCCACCACACGCCACCATCCACTCTCCAAGAAAACACCTCCCCATGCCTAGCACTTTCTGTGGTCAATACAGCACGAGGAACAGCTGTAACGGGCGGCGACTTCCGTGCCTGTATATGTCCTAACAGACACGCATAAACACATGCATACACACATACATACATAAACATATAAATTTCTACTAGTTCGCTATTTGTCTGCCGAGAAGTCTGAGGAAAGTGAAAGAAAAAGGAAATTACTTCGGTATTCTCGTATTCCATAAACATGTAATCATATCCCAATTTCACTTTCGCAAAGCAAACGAAAATCAAAATTTCAAGAGCTGCATATCTTTTTTTCCTTTTCTTTTTCACGAAGAGTTTATGGGAAGCCAAACAGAAAATCCCAGAAAAACTATGTCTAAAAACATTCACTGCAACATTTCCACTGTCTTCTGAAAATCTGGAATCTAAGAACAGTAAATGCACGTAAAGTTCGATGAATAAATGATCAAATGGGGGTGTGCAGTGGCCAGAGAGCTCAGAGCGGGGAGTTGGGGCGGTGCTGGCTTGGGAAATGGGGTTGGGAAAGAGAGACGGAGAAAGAAAGAGGTGGCGTGGGGAAGGTCCCGCCAATTGGCATACAAAAAGTGATGTGGCTGCCACATCAGCAAATTAATAGGTCCGGTCCATCACCACATCAGCAAAGTTAACACCAATATAACAAATTGGTCAGAATCTCGCCAAAGTGGAGCGAATATTGAGTTTCAATGTGTAAAGTGGCAAAATTTTAGTTTTAAGGGGAAAAATGAAATTGAAAGTGAGTTCCTTGGGGCAGTACAAAAAAAAAAGCCAAAACTGAAAGAAAGAAGCGAGCAAATTAATCAAAACTACCCTTATCTAATGGAACACACTTGCGCCTTGATTTATGATGAGCAAATATTTGGTGATTTACAACATCAAACCAAATTTTCAGCCAACTGGACATCCAAATTATCACCCCAAGTCGACATCAACATCCCGTACAACGTGAATGAGTTACTGGCAATCACAATTTCCGGCAACGAATAGTTCGAGGAAGTAGAGCAAACTTAGCTACACATCAATATAGATTTATACATCTCAGTATAAAATCTTCGACGCAACTACTTCAAGCACAGCCTTTTCCCCATATCCAAGAAATTGGGGTACACGTAGTTTGGACGAGGGACAAGACATGGAGCAGAAAAACAATCAGTATAAAAAATTGATGGGTAGCTAACTGAGTTTTTTTTCCCCCAAGCAATCACTTTCCTAGTTTCCTGTTTAGGGTGATCCTTCTGAATCCAATTTTTCTTCAATGTATAAAAGTAAAAATAAAAAACCACGACTCAAATTTAAATCCTCTCTTAACTATAGACTAAGTTGACTGAAATGGACAGGGGTAATACACCTTTATAGACCCACTGTAATCAGCATGTATGAGTCTGTAAAGATATCTAAATGGCTGGTGGGAGGTAAAAGTATGGGAATTCACCAAGCATCAAGCCTCAGTATCTGAAAGTGTTGGAAACTCCAGTCCCCGAAGGGCAGGTACGTTGTCTAAATCCTCTTTTGAGAACAGTGGTAAGAGCCACAGTGCCTTCTTCGTGCCGAAAACCTACAGGAAAGGAAAAGAGTTAAAAATCATCAAATGTCTGATGGAAAAACGGGTTACATAAGCACTAAGTGAGAGAGAGAGAGAGAGAGAGAGAGAGAGAGAGAATTCCACCTGCTCAAAATTCTTCTTCCTGCCCAAGTCATACTTCCATCTGATTGCTCCTCTCTTTTCATGAACCTGAAACATTGTTTCAAATAGTTGCATACAATTGTGATCTTATAAGACATGATAAATCATAAACATGTGGCATTGTTAAATTCTTTGTAGATTCAGGTTACTCTGATATTTGGATCATTTTGGACAACTGTAGCAAATTCTTATTTTACAGTGTATGTATTCATAAATTAATATAGAAACTCAAGCAGAGGGTAGTAGCCAGATGAACATAATTTTATCAGGTAATTCAGGTCTCAAATGGTAAGTGCAAACTACGAAAATATTCATAAATCTTACAAACGGTAGAAAGAAAGTAGCAGGTGAGTGTATTACCTCAACTGTAGTAGTGTTGCTTGACAGAAGGGACGCATGCATAACCACAAAACAAAGAAGACTCAGTGCAAAGGCTAAATTAAGCACTGCAACAAGGTAAACAATCTGTAAGGAGCAAGTAAACAATGAAAGTGGAACCAATATGTGAACATGAAAATGATTTATTCGGTGGAATATTACCAAATGTCAAAAAAATGACTGCAAGATTTCCAGGAGATTCAGAATGATCCGTGGCTTCAGAGAAGAAATGGATAAAATTTGGCAGCAAAACTAAAGTATCCATTGTCGTCTCCAGAAATGTATAAAGCTTTCAAGGCACAAACAGAAACTGGAACGAGTGAGCAAAAACAAAGGGACAGTAAAATAGCCAATTACTCCCACTTTTAAAGTTTATTTGCACACCATAAGGTATTTATTTTATAATCAATTGCATTTCCCATCACTCTCTGCGAGCCCCACTTCCCCCAACGCACACACACGTCAAAGATAACTCAAACATCTCCAGTTCCCAGCCCTAGATTCTGTGGGATTGCCAGCCTTTGAACAAAAAATCTGGTGGGGAAGGAAATCTACACAAATTTCTTATTTCGTGAGTTGTGACTGCAAGTACATTAATAAGAAAAAGGAATATGTCATTACCAAGAAAAGAAGAAAAAACTTGTAGTTGCGTGCACCAACACAATTCACCACCCAAACACAATGGTGATCCATCTTAAGTACACATCTTTGGCCTACAGAGCATAAAAGAAAACAAAATGATTATCACTTAATAGTTAATAGACAGTTTCACTGATCACTGAATGTTAAATAAGGATAGCGACAATGTTCCAAAGTTGTCAGGTTATCAATGACGACATAGAGTTGCAAACAAAGAACACGCCAAAAGGACACATGCTACTACAATTTAAATAACCGGATAGGATGTTAAAGAGTCAGATCGACATTTAACAGTCTTAAACCATCTCTCTATGCATATCTTTGCTGACCAAGTTCTCAGGAACTTCCATAAACAGTGGCAAAGAGAGAAACATCCAACGGTAAATGATAACTTTATTGATAAAACCTCTAGAAACTTTATTGATAAAGCTGACAACACAAAAATGTGAGAGTGAATTCATATATTCGGTACCACCCATGGGACTTGGAAGATTTTCTAGGGAGATATTCTATCACAACACCACCTCAAACCGATGGCATCTCCTTGCAAGAAATATAAAAATCAAGGATAAAAGGTACTCTTACATGCATATGGGAAGCAAAGAAGAAAAAGAAATGCTCCATGGGAAAATGCACAAAAAACAATAATGCATGCCCAGATACAAGCAACATATGTATCGTCAACATTAGAAAAAAAGTTGCTTACAGACAGAGCAATGATGGCATCGTGGTGGCTTGCCATTTTGGCATCGACTACAATACCCTACTTGTGGTCTTCTTTCTCGTCCATCTGAAGATTGTGTTGAAGTGAATGCCTCGGGTTCGATATTTTCTGACAAAGTCAGAGAACTACCAGCCTCTAAGTTTTCCTCCTCTATTAGAGGTTTCCAATTTTCCGGAACAGAACCAGGGTCTTTAAAGACTACCATAAAGTAACTCCACAGTAACATTACAAGCTGCAACACAAATACAAATTCAAACCGAGGGCCAAACTTGAGTTAGTTTTCTACCAAATCAATCTTTCTACTCAATTCGGCTTTCTCAGAAGTCATAAACAAATAACATTATTTATCAATGTATTCTCATTTTAAATTTTGCTATAACAAGCTTGAAAAAATCATATATGACACGAAATCAACATTCACTCTCCTTAGTCTTTGTCAAAGGCAAAACTCCCACGGGTCCTCGATGTAAGTATGAAACATACCTCTCTACTTACTAAGTTTTTTAGAACAGTTGTAAACCAGCCAGCAAAACTGAACCCAATCTTTGATTTGTCTCCCCGAATTTCGGGTCTAATTTCAAATTCAGCTCTTATTAGCTTGTCAGACATTCGAGACCAACTTCGTTCAAGCTCATCCATCAGTCTAAATTAGTAAATTGTACTAACTAATCTAAATTGTGCTCATTGCAGCAGCTATCAGCAGCTATCAATCTACTTAATCTACTTAGATGCTATCTAACCACATCAATTTAACTCTACTAATTAGACCCTAATCATACAAACAATAACATCAACAGAAATTAACACACAACACACAAAATAAAAACTGGGTTGTTTACAATTTCCAATTTCCCGATTGCCCCTTAATTAAGATTAAAAAACAACAGAAAAGAAAAAAAAAGGAGAAAACTTGAAGCATCCACAACTGAAATAGTTGAGAATTACCAGAATATGGAACATTACGATGATGAAGAAAGCTAGAAACGAGTGGACCCCGCCGCGAAGCAGCTCGGGGCCCCAAGTGACTACGACGATGGCATAGTAGGAGACGGAGATGATGGCGGCGACGAGGAGGATCATGAAGTAACCGATGATTTTGAGGCCGGAGCAGAGCCTGAACAGGTTTATCTCCATTCCGGGATTGATTGGGACTCGAAATGGCCGAGATATCCCGATTTGGAATTGCGGGAGGGTGAGTGGCCGCCTGGTTCGAGGGGGAAAGAGGCGTTTCCAGATGTCAGGAGCCAGGATTAAGGTGTTCCGGAGTAGGATTGGAGTGTTCCGGGATTTGGAGATGGAGGAGATGGAGGCGGTAAGGGACTCTGCAGAGTGAAAAGTCGACTTCTACTTTTGACATTTTACTGCTACAGTAGTTGTAACTGAGTTTGGTACTTTGGGCGCGTCGGAGGATTTGTCAGAAACTCATTCCACCTCTTCGTCTCTCCGCTCTCGGTCAGGAAGATAAATTTTGTAGATAAAATTTTGCAAACTAAATAAACTAGAAGTAGATGATTATGTTACTGCATAGTATTGATTAACGTGCTTATTTCTTATTGATAATACATCATTTATTTTTCAATTTAGTATGTACATCATTACCTTAAACAAAAAACAATTATTTGTTATACTCATATTTTATTGAGAGATTATAGAGAGACCGGCAGCTGGCAAGCAAGAGAATTTGGTGATTATGTTGTAATGATTTATTATTCTTTTTTATTTTTTTGGTGAATAGAGGGGGTGAAGAAACCCCAGACGAACTAATACATATCAATTATAATAATAAAGTGGCCCATAAGGGCACCTACAAGATCATTCGTTAGATGTTGTACAAGTGATTAAGGAGGAAACTGAAAAGAACACAGCCCAACTGAAAAGAACACAACCCAAGGTCCAAATTGTAGCTTCATTTGGCTAGCTAATCTGCAACATTGTTCACTTCTCTGAAAATATGCTTTAGCTCACAAAGCTTAATTCTCTCCTCAAATCCCTGCAACTTTTCATAAGGATAGCAAGGGGTGAAAATTATCTTGCACATGCTGGTTCAACAATAATACAGAAGAGGAAGAGTCCATCTCAATAATTAACTTAGATATGTCTTTTTCAATAGCAAGCTGAAGTCTGAAATACAATCTCCAAACTTCGACTTCTATAATTTGTCATTGCCTAGATTAATAGAGAAACCTCCCAAGCAATCACCATTGTGATCATGGAGAATTCCTCCAACACCGATGTTGCTTGAAACCATTTTCCTAGATCCATCTACTTTCAACTTATGCCAACCAAAAACAGGAGGCTCCCACTTCAACATAACATACATCCGAGAATGAGGTTTATCAATTTTTAGAAGGGAATCCATCCATCCAAATCCATATCCAACAATAACCTTTTTAGGATCACTAGGGAGGAAGAAATCCAAATTAAAAATCTAGTGGTTCCTCCATTTCCAGATATACTTGGAAGCAAAGACAAACAAACAATTCCATGCGATCTTGTTAGACCACATTACCTTGGACGTCACGTTAGCCATCAACCAGGTTTTCAAGTCCAAATTAAAAGTATTGCACAATTAAGAAGGAATCCGTAAAATATCCTAAATGCATTTAGCTTTGCTACATTCCCTCAGAATATGTGTAATGGTCTCCAAATGCCCAGAACAAAGGTTGCAAAAGGAATTCACAATTAAGTTTCTTTTGGTTCTTTGCTCATTAGTAAGTAACTTACCTTGAACAATAAGCCAAAGGAAGAATTTAAGTTTTTTTTTTTTTTTGGTGGTGTGGGGGAGGGGGGTGATTTTGAGAGTCCAAATGCCAAGCCAATAAAAACAGGCCTTTTTCTTTACAATCATATAACACCTTATAGGCTGTTTTTACAATGAAAGTTCCATTTGAAGTGCATCTCCATATAAGTTTGTCCTCACAAGCGCCAACAATCCCAGCAGACCAACTGATTGTTTTTGAAAAAATTTGAAATAGGTCCAATTTTATAGGCCACCTTTTGAAATATGTCCAATTTTTAGTAACTTTTGACTTTTGAAATAGGTCCAATTTTTAATTACTTTGGACCCATCCCAAAAGACCCAATTATTTTTTGGACCAAGTTTTTTGGAATAGCAGTTCTTAGCTTATTGACGTCCCACCAACCACCCCGAATGAAAGAAGAGACTGAAAAGTCCTCATCGGGAAAGTTATTAGCATCAATATAATTAAATAAAGGATCATTCAACACCTAATGGTCTTTCCAAAACTTGAAACCATCACCCTTCCTAATTCTCCATTTCATTCCTTTGCGCAACAAATCAGTTCCATAAAGAATTCCTTTCCAAGTGTAAGAGTAGTCAGATTCCTTTCCACTTGTAAGAGCAGTCAAACTTCTCATGTAATTTAGTATCCAAAATAGAGCTCCCTTGCAAGTATTTCGCCTCATAGATTTTTGCCTAGAAACTTGTATCATTAGCATTAATTCTTCATCCAATTTTAGCTAACAAAGCTTGATTCATCTATGCCGTTTTCTTTAATCCCACACCTCTAATGCATTTGGGCCTACAAACAAGGTTCCATTGACATAAATGAATTTTCTTTTTTTGCTGAAAGTACCCCCAAAATAATTTTCTATTTAACTTATCCAAATGTTTGCATACACTAATCAGGAGCTTAGTGGTTTGCATAGCATACACTGGTGTTGCAAAAGTGACTGCTTGAATTAAGGTGGCTCTTCCAACCATTGAAAAGACATTACTCTTCCAAGAAGAAAATCTACTCTGAACTTTATCAATCACACCCTTGTAAGTTAACTTGGAGACTCTATATTGGATCAATGGCATCCCCAAATAATTTCTAAGATTATTAGACAAAGGAGTGCTAAGCAGAATTTGTCAATACATCTCTTCATCACCCTAGCTTGTTTTGGTGTTGCATCTGCAAAGAGTATAAGATTATATGTGGAAAAAAAATAGGCAAGAGACTCCGGGACCAAATTGAGAAGCTTTAATAAGTTTCCATTAACCATAATTGACTTCATTAGTAATAATTTAAGACAATTTCTCAATACAAAGTACAAGCATATAAGGGGACAAAGGATCCCCTTGTCTGATACCATTACTAGGCGTAAAGCTCTCAGTTAATCCACCATTAACATGCACCTGGTATTTAATAGAGGCTATGTAGTCCATAATAAGATGAACCAAACTTTCAAGCAAGGCAATCTTATAGAGCACACCACTAATAAAGCTCCAGTTTAAGCGATCATAAGCCTTGGACAAATCAATTTTCCAAGCCAAAAAACTTTTCTTACGCTTGGACTTTCTAAACTTATAAAGATTTTGTGCAATGAGAATGTTATCTATTATATGTCTGCCAGGCACAAAATTAGCTTGACTTGGACTTATTAATTGAGGGAGAAGATGCCTGAGATTAGCTATAATAATCTTAGTTATGACCTTTTATAAAGTGCAACATAGACTGATTAGTCTAAAATTTAGCATCTTTTGGAGGGTTCTCAATTTTAGGAACAAGAGCAATTAACGTATTGTTCAAATCATGTGGCAATCTATGAGTTTGAAATGTTGTTTTAACCAAATCAATAATATCACTTGCACGTCTGCCCTATTGAGCTTGATAAAAGCAAGTAGGAAACTCATATATACCCGGTGCTTTAGTACCTCCAATACTAAAAATGCTATCCTTAACTTCAACATGGTCAATCTCTCTATTACGTGATCTAATATTATCCAAATGAACAGAAGGAAACAATTTAGGCAGAGAAGTAGCCTGTCTAGACCATTGCCCATGAGAGAACACTGTTTGAAAATACTCCATAACAAGACTCTTCAGGTTATCAGGGTTTACAATCCATTCAACTTGGTCATTCTTCAGTCCCTCAATTCTATTTCTCCTTCTCCTCACAATCGTGGTAAGATGAAAAAATTTGGTATTACGATTGCCGTCTTGTAACTATTTCAATCTAGACTTTTAATGCCAGAAGATAGCTTCTTGATTTAAAATTTCGTTGAACTTTGAAATTAATTCCCCCACCAAGTTGAGAAGAAAATTGTTTAGGCCTCTACACAGTGCTTTCTGGATACCAGCAATGCATCCAAGGAGCTTCATCTTCTTCTGCTTTAAGTGTCCAAAGACATGAATATTCCATTTTTTCAGAGACTCAATTAGACCACAAGTTTTGTCCATGGCAAAAACATGAGAATTACCCCAATTTTCTGCAATAAGCTCATCAAATGTGTCATGCCTAAGCCACATAGCCTCAAATCTAAAAGGTCTTTGAAGAGGATTGAGGACTTGAGTATATTGAAGATTGATTTTAAGAGGACAATGATCAGATTTAGTATGTGGTACGTGGTACGTGGAGAACACATGCTTTTGGGAACAAGTTTCGCCAAGCCATATTACATACGCCTCTATTAATTCTTTCTAGAGTCCTCTTGTTAGTACAAGTGAATTTAGGACCAACATATCTCAAGTCCAACAAACTATTTATATACACCCAAGATTTAAAGTCCTTGATCTTACAAAGAGGAGCACCACCAAGTTTATCACATCCCTCTACCATTTCATTGAAATCCCTTGCTAGCATCCATGACATGTGGTGGCAGTCAGCTACACCATTAAGGTAATCCCACAATTTTCTTCTCTTCGCAATACAAGGTTAGCATAAATGAACGTAAACAACCAAAGGTTATAACCAGCTCCTTTTACACAAGCTGAGATGGATTGATCAGTGGTGCTAATAACATCAACATGAACCTTGCTGTTATCTCAAAGAAGTGATAGCCCTCCAGAAAAGCCATTAGCATCCACTATTTCAAATAAAGGAAAACTTAGCGATTTGACCACATAAATGGCTCTCGTACCACTAATCCTGTGCTCATAAATCGCAAGAATCTCCATTTTGTGGTTCTGCTTTAAATTAGTAACATTATTCTAAAATTTGGTATAGCTAGATCCTCTAGAATTCCACACAATTATATTGATGCTTAAAATTAATATGGATTGAGAAAGCAGAGAGCCAACATCATCCAATACCAAGCACTACACCTCTAAAAATTTTGACAAAACGCATACCCATCATATAAAAATCTGACACTATCTCCCGACAGATCAAAGGTTAGGATACCCAGAAAATCAAGAACACATAAAACCCTATAAATTTGCAAGTACAGATTAACAAAATTGTGGAAAATTATAGAAATTTGGGACGAATTACCAAATTAACTTAGATGGCTTACTAGGTTGCAATCATCTGCATCAACAATTGAGATTGTAGCAGCAAGGATTGAAAAAAGGATTTTCCTTCGATTAGCAGAAGGGCTAGTTTGCTTTCACTAAGAAGAGAGAATTTATTACAAGGGAAAAAGGAGAAAAAACTCTACAAGCAAAAAGGAAATATTGTAATAAAAAGGTGTGCTTGAAAAGATGGAAAAGATGTATGATTTGACTGGGATATGGGGAGGAGATTTTTAGAGGGTCCAATAACACTGTATAGGAACAAGAAAGAATAGGGGAAAATGGCTAATTGGGGAGAATCACGAGAAAAAGGTTGGATTGAGAGGCCAAATCTGGGGGAGAGGAGAAGAAGAGTTAAGGGCTCATCGGGAAAAGGAACAGCAGGAAGAAGCTCACAGATGTGGGGAGTTTTCACAGAGGAAATGGTTTTATTTGTTAGAAGAGTTGAAACTTTGTTCATTGCTAGAGTCACAAAATTTAAATTTAGGCATAAAAGTGGGACGAAAAAAATTTTAGGTATGAAAGTTGGAATTTAACAATAAGTGAGAATTACCAAAAAAACCTCAAAATTGTATGTGCACTTACGCATAATAACCCAAATAATTTTTTCAAAATAAAATCTCAACCCAAAAATAGAAATTGAAGATTTAGAATTTTCTCATAACTAAAAGTCTAAAATGTTGGTTTCAAACTTAGATTATACAATCAAATCCTAATTATCAAACACAACCAAATATATAATACACCATCGTGTGATTCACCAGTGCCAATAATCAAACTCAGGACGTGCCGAGCTATTGAAATTTATTAAAATTGGTACTAAGCGGAATATCCTGTATATAAAAATTATAATCTGCTAGACTGACTAGTCAAGTCCGCTAGTCTACTAAAATAGATTTATTAGTCAATAAATCAAAGATTCAATAACCAATTTCAAATGCCAAAAGCTACCCTAGTCAGTACTGCCTCAGTTCGTTCCAAGTTATTAATGTGTCAAGTGAGCATGATTGTGAGCACATACAAATTAAATATTCAAGTGATACATGTATCATGTATATGTATGTGAGATATGTAACACAATATATATAACTTTGAACACAAGATATTTTTGGCCGGAAAAATCTATCTCTGGGTTAAAAAATGGGGGACTCTCCAGTCTCCACTAAGTCCAATCCACTAGTGTAATCAAGATTTTTACAAAGTACCACGCAAAGCTTAATTCCTAGACCTAGTCTACAAAGCAGTTTTATCTTTGTGCAACCTTGCCTTATACAAGAGAGATTCCTTCGATCTTCACGAAGTGGTAGCTCCTCTTGAGTTCTTCACCTTGTGGCATCGAAAATGTGTTGTCTCCACACTTCACAAGATAATAGCTCCTCCTGAACTCTTCACCTTGTGGCACCAAGACCAACACAAAAGTTATGCATACGATGATATTGCAATGATATGCAAATCTTGATTCAAATGTCCAATCAGTTTCTCCAGTCAAACTGTTGAAGGAAGAAACTGACGAGAATCCTAAATTGGGTCAGTTTTAAAGATTTAAAACTAGAAACACTTGACTCCAAATTTAATGCGAAACCAAAAACAATGCAACCCTCATAAGAAAGTAAACTCCCTTTGGTTAAGCAAGTAAACTACCTAACATCTCTTTTTCATAAAGCATTGGAATAGGCACGAGAACCTGGAATTAGAATCTTTTCCTGATCTTCATGAGGTTAGTTGTAGCTTTGAGATCTCCTGTATCAAAATAAAATTCCAATCCAAACTCAAATGCAGATTGACGTTTTTTTTTTGTTTGAAAAATCATAAAATCGAAATGTCATGTTGTAAGAAAAGAGAAGAGGAGTACATATTTTTTATTTAACGTTTTCCACAAAATGGTGACGAAAGGGATAACTTGTACAAATCTTTACATTTTCCAAGTCGATATGTTTAATGCATGAAGAAGGTTTTGCAACTAAGGTTTCATAAATGAAGAACAAAGAGGAAGGTGAGGCCTTAATGCCCTTTTCTCTCTTTCTCTCACTAGGAATATAATCTGAAAATCTCAAAATGAACAAAGGAATCAGCTAAGAATCTTAATCCCAAAAGCTTTGGTTCATTTTTCAACCCACATGACACGTGTCAAGCTTCAAAACAATATGAAAAGATTAAAGGTGACAAACATACATTCGCCAGAAAGCTCTCAGTTAGCCTACGTGGGCAGGTCTTAAATTGTGTGCCTAGCTTGCTGGAAATCTGTGTGCACGGCAGACTAGACATCTAAGCTAGTTAGACTGAAACATGAATATAGACGTGAAATGCATATGCATGAACAAACCTTGTGAAATGAGATGTGCTACATCCTTGAACATATCTTCACAGCAGACACATCCCATAAACAGAGAAAAACCTAAAGCTAGATTGAGTATGTGGTACATTTATAATGTTGACAAGGAAAGCCAAACCTAAAAGTCTAGACTTCCGATTTATTCACTCAACTAATTTGGTTGCTTTTTAACAATTGTTACTATCTAAGATTGATGTTGGATTGCTTCGTGATAATATAAGTTTCGTTAGTGTTTGGAGTTCCCCTTCCTTTTTTTTTTTTTTTTTTTTTTTTTTTTTTTCAATCTTAAGGGGTTTAAATAGTCATTTCATATAAAAGTACTAAATTCATTTAATAATAAGTGTACTTAACAATATATGAGGTGCTGATAGAAAAAACTTATAATATATACTAAGTAGAAAATGGAATTTTTTTTGAGTAAATTGTAGCAATGGTCCCTTAACTTTAACTCAATTAGAGCAATAATCTTTCAACTTAAAATTCATTACCATTGGTCCTTTAACTCCATTACCATTGGTCCTTTAACTCCATTCCCATTGGTCCTTTAACTCATCAAAAAGTGCAGCTATGGTCCCTCAACTTTAACCCAATTGGAATAATGGTCTCTCAACTTTAACCCAATTATAGCAATGTTCCCTCAACTGTAACCCAATTTTAGCAATGGTCCTTCCAACATAACTCATTTTGACAAAATTATGATGAAGTTGACGAAAATGACCATAGTTACATATTTTGATGAGTTGAGGGATCCCAATTGTAACAATAGACATTCCAACATAACTTATTGAGAAATTTTATTTAAACACATGTAACCTATCTCTACACCCATTTGATTTTTAACTAAACTATTAATATCTCTTTAAACCCAAATTTATTACCTAATATACCCCTATAAATCCAATTCAATATGTGAATTTATTTTTACACCCATTTGATTTATAACTCTATCTTTACGCTGTCTGGAAATGGACAGTGAGAATTGAGGTATGAATTTAGCCATGGCTGACAATAAGACTGACACTTCTGTAGATGTTGACAAAAACCATGTATCACCATCTCTCTGTGTAGTCTCTGTTTCATGAGCATATGTGTCTGCTACCATACATTTTCATAGGAATCTTTCTATAGGCTTCATGAAGTGCATGGAGCACTAGTAATCAAATTGGGTTTGTTCGAAAACATTACTGTTTGTTTGACAAGATAATATCTCTGTAATTTCAAAACTGCACAATCTGATATCAATTGCAAATTTTGCTTATGAAATTCCAATCGATCCAGTACCATCGTACAAGTCTAACCAATGGCCAGGCCTTAAAGATGCAGGGCAACCACCTGCAGCCTAAGATTAGTGGCACACATTAATTTACAAGCACATATGTGGTAGACACAATACTTACTTACTTGCAGGATATCAAAGGTTGCAAATTATATTGAATTATATTGTATTTCAAGATGCATCTTGGTTAGTCTCTGGTGTTTGAATGTCAGAAACATTACTGTTTGTGTGAAATCGTAAATACTAGTTTAGTACATGAAAATTTAAGAATGTACATGTAAAATTCAAAATACTAATCTTCTAAACTCTAAAAAATTGAAATCAAACGAACAAAAAATTCATAAATTGAGTCATACCTTGGTTAGATGATTCAAAACTTCAAAATCACCATCCATCAATAAAAAAAATTTGTTTTTCTCTATGCGAGCTATTAGAGTTTTAGTCGGAATGAACGTAAGATAAACAAAGAGTGATCGTAGGGTTTAATTATAGTGTTTGAGTTTATTGATAAATTTGAGTTTTATTATTAATTTCATTTTGTACTTAATTGTAATTATGCAATAGATTAAAATAGACAACTAATATTTAAAATTTAAGTTGGGTGTAGAAATATGTTACATGAGTTTAAATAAAATTTTCCTAACTTATTTTGACAAAATTCTAATAAAGTTGACAAAAAAAAGATCATGGCTATACTTTTTGATAAGTTGAAGGACCAATGATAATGAATTTTTAATTGAGGGATTATTGCTTCAATTTGATTAAAGTTAAAGAACTATTGTTACAATTTACCCTTTTATTTATTTATTTATTTATTTTTTATTTTTATTTTTTTTATGGAGCAATAACATGGACAGTTAACTGCTAGATGGAAGAAGAGTTGGTGCGAACCGAACTCGCAAATCACATCATGTATCTGGAAAACTGTAATATTATAAATAAATAAATAAATAATTATTTATTAATTTGGGCGCCTTTTATGTTTAGAAGTCCGGAAACGTGGTCGACAACCAAAACTGAAGGGATATTCCCCAAAAACCCACCTCATCCTTTCTTCTACACTCTCGCCTACTCTAAAAAGGTACACGACCGCCTTTTCCTTGTCTTTCTCTGTTTCTCTAACTTCATTAATTTTGTTCCTTTTCCTCTTAATTTCTGCTTTTAATTGATTTTGTTTCTCTTTTGGGGGCTGATTGAGGGTTAGGGTTAGGGTTTTTGAATTCCCATAACCACTGAGAAATTTGGGAGGGAAAAAAAGATGCAGCAGCCACCGCAAATGATCCCCGTCATGCCTTCATTTCCTCCCACTAACATCACCACCGAGCAAATTCAGAGGGTACCATTTTTCCCATTTCGCTCAATTTTTATCTCTTAATTGTTTATTTGGAACTCTTACTGGTTTTTAGGAACTAATTGGCCTTCTGGGTTTTCTGGTTTGTTTTTTAATTTTTTTTGTTATGTTAATTCATTTCCCTCCCAATTGTTTGATGCATATGCTAAATGTTAAAAAACAAGGCTGAAATTGTGTACTTGAATAAAATTTGTTAAATTTTGTCCATATAGAAAAGATTGCACTTTTGCTGACAATATTTAGAGAGGAATTCCATAAGTCTTGCCATCGTTGTATAGTTTCTATGGTGGAGTGATGTATGATTTGTGATGATCATGTATAACAGTGAAGCCAATAAGAATACAGATTCATATTGTACAAAGCATATGAACGTGTGGCATATGAATGATGTTCAGGAAGAAACCTTTAACAAAGCTACGTATCCCGCCCTCAATTGGGTCGTTAATCAATCATCGCCCATTAAGGTATGAAAGAATTTAATAAAGTTAAGGTAATAACTAAAGATTATAAACATATTTCTCCAAATAAGGAATCCTAGTTCACAGTAATAGGGGAAAATTCTTCTTGATTTAAAAGAAAAACCCACAGGAAACAGTCTTCAGTTGGTGTTTTTCGAACATCTTGTTGAAACATTAGGGATGCTTAGGAGTTCTTATAGTTTATTCTCCTAACCTGTGTGAAGTGCCTTTTTAATATCTGTTAAGAATTTTTCCTCCGTCAGCCTATTTCTAGTGGTGAATCGTGATTCAGGCCACTGGATTTCCTGTTGAGAAGCTATCTAGATACCCTACTGCTGTGCAGATAGTACTCCACTGGTCCACCTCTGCTCCGAGTCTCCTCTGAAAAGTGTATCTGATGGGCACACATGATATATTTCTCTTGTCACCAAAGATGTCTTATCTCACAAGATCAGGATTCTTGATAGCATAGGCAAAATGATTTACTGTTTTGGATTTTGATAAATTCTAGTTGATACGGTAGTGGCATGAGTAGCAGTGGTCTTTTGGTAAATTTGTTGAAAGCTTTGTGCTTGTGAGATGGCTTATAGGTTAGATGCATGACAAATCATTTGATAAAATGACTATTTTGGATGTGCTAATCAGTCTTGAACTGAGCTAAGGAGTAGTTTGATGAAAGTAACAGATAAGGTGGATGTATTTCTAGTTACTACTGTAGAAATTTCCATCTAAGCCTGAAGCTATTTTGAAAGGTTGAATTACGCTTTTGGATACCTACCTTGATTGTCAAATATATTGCATTTCACTTGATGTGCGTTGGAATCAAAATTATTTATTAATAATGTGATTTTATAATTCTTTATGCAGTATCTTGATGACAACAAAAAGTTGGTTATGGCAATATTGGATAATCGAAATCTTGGAAAACTTGCCGAGTGTGCTCAGTAAGCCCCCTCTCTCTCTCCGCATATGTTGTATGCATGTGAATTATGTTTTGAATCATATGCTGGGGCTGTATAAAATTGATTGCACTTGTATCTTGTAAGTTAGGGATGATTCTGACTGATTAGAGATGTTAGAATTTTGAACTAGCCTCAGCCCTCATGGTTTGTATTGATAGCATTGTTTATAAGATCCTTAATGTTGAGAACTTGTTAGGTCTTTTGATTTATTGTAATTGTGGGATTAGTCAAAATTATTTTGCATAAAAATACGCATGGCTATGGTTTGGCTTACACATTTATTGATATGGTAGGGGCTACCGTTGGCCATTCATTTAATGCTATCTCCCAGTTATGACTTCGGATATGACTTTCTATTCCTAATTCATGGCCACAATGTGTAAGACATATACTTATTGCAATTGTGATGATTTAGGTACCAAGCTCAGCTTCAAAAGAATATGATATATTTAGCAGCAATTGCCGATGCGCAACCACTGTCACCAGCAGTGCCTGCCCAGGTGGGGGTAGTAAGCATGCCTGGATGTTTGGCTAATTCGTTTTTTTCTAACCACGCTTATCATCTATGTTTTAACACTTGCTGATGGCTCCACATCCTGCTATGCAACAGGCGGGATATTACATGCGACATGCCCAGGCAGCAGCAATGGCTCAGCAACAAGGTATTTTCCCCCCAAAAATGCCGATGCAGTTCAATAACATGCATCAAATGCACGACCCGCGGCAGCAGCAGCAGCTACATCAGCAGAACCAACAAGCCATGCAAGGGCAAATGGGAATGAGACCCAGGGGGGCCAGCGGCATGCCTTCCATGCATTATACTGAGGGCTCATTTGGTGGTGGTAGTGGTGGCCCAAACTCAGCGGGAGGCCCAAATGATGGGTGTGAAGGAAGCAAGCAAGATGCCTCGGATCCTAGGGTAGGTGGTGATGGCCAGGGGAGCTCAGCTGGTGGGCATGGCAACGGTGCTGGGATGACGGCAAGTGAATTGGCCCTTAAGGATGATTCCACATGGAAACATGTGCCTGTTGATAGTAGGTATTTTCCTAAAGTAGCTGTTGTGCTCGGTGATGTGTGACAAATCGAGCGAAGCAGTGAAAGTTGTCTGTTCTTTAGTCTTGAAGCGATTAGGTAAATGAGTTGTGTTGTAAGTCCCTTTGCATGTAGTGGATCTTGGCATCAGATGAAACAAGTGGTGGGATAAGACAGATTTAGTTCATAAGGGCTTTGGGGATGGAAGCATGTGTTCTGCACTTGATGTCTGTCTCAATATGTAACTCATAAACTGCATGCAGCAACGCGCCACAAATTCTGATCCTATTGCAAGTTTTGCTGGTAGGTTTTCGTTTTGCTTTTTCGGTCGTTATGTGTACGGATTTCTTCTTTAGCAAAAATGACTTGATGTCAACAAGTTCAGAGTTCTAAGATTGAAGTTTTAAAAGGCTCTGAATCTCCATACATTTCCAACTTTTTCCTAGAAATTTTAGGGCTTGTTTGGTATCATATTTGAAATCTTTTATAATTTCTCAAGACATTTCTTAAGAATTTTTCTTGAAAACAATATTCTTTAAAACTAAAAAACTTGTTTGGTATGCGATTTAAAAATTTTGAATCTTACAACTTAAATTAGACAAAGAGATCTAAAAGGAAGTGGCCAAGAGAGAGAGATGAGAGAGAAGGAAAGAAAGTAAGAAATGATTGGAAGAAAGAGAAAGAAGTGAGAGGATCAGAGGTGATAGAGAGGAAGAGGAGTGAGATAAAGAGTCGAGAGAATGAAGAGAGCGGATTGGAGGAGAGACGAAAAAGGTAAAAAAAAAGAAAAAAAGAGAGAAAAGGGGGAGAGAGAAAGAAGAAAAGAGGGATAGATTTGGAGTGAGAGGGAAGGAGGGAGAGAAAAGAAAAAAGTGAGTTTAAGTTTAAAAACTCACTTTTTGTGTTTTTAGATATTAGACTATTTTTTAGTTAATCTTGAGTTTAGTTTTTGAAAATAATCATACCAAACAAGTTTTTTAAGACCTAAAACTTGAAAATTGTTTTTGAGTTTAAAAAGTTGAATTCAGATAGAGTACCGAACACTCTTAATGTTAGAGCATCTTCAAAGGAGATGCCAAAATATACACATCAACTATAACAGTAAAAATAGACTACACTAATATTCTCCAACCGAAGTGTCAAATCCTATGTGGCAATGATATGGATTGGTAACAATAGAAATGGTCCTTGAGATTTGCATAACACATCACTTTAGTCTCTGAGATTGAAAATCAATAGAAATGGTCACTGAGATTGTCCATCATCCATTATTTTGGTCATTATGTTAAAAACTCCATTAAATGTCCCAAAGTTCTTGGCCGAAAGTTTTGGCAATTTTCAAAGCTTCATAACTCAATCGTTTCTTAACCAAATTCGACCCAGAATATATCAAAATGAAGATAGGAAAGTGTAGAACAAGATTATATCTATTTAGAAGCCCAATGGTTGCTAGAGATGGCTGGAAAATAGTCTGAAAGGTGACTGGTCCGCGAAAAACTAGAATACTCGTCGGAAACTGGGTAAACTTTAAACGTTCATAACTTCTTCAATAATCAACGAAATCGAGTGATTCAAAAACGAAAATCATACTTCTTGACAATCCAAAAGAATGATATCTTTTTCGACAGCTAAATCCCCGTGGTTTAGCCATCTAGAAAGATGTCATTCTTTTTGGATTGTCAAGAAGTATGATTTTCATTTTTGAATCACTCGATTTCGTTGAGTATTGAAGAAGTTATGAACGTTTAAAGTTTACCCAGTTTCCCACGAGTTTTCCAGCAAGCTAGTCACCTTTCAGGCTATTTTCCGGCTATCTCCGGCAACCATTGGGCTTCCGAATAGGTATAATCTTGTTCTACATTTTCCTATCTTCATTTTGATATATTATGGGTTGAATTTGGTTAAGAAACAATTGAGTTACGAAACTTTGAAAATTATCCAAACTTTCGGCCAAGAGTTTCATGACACTTAACGGAAGGACCAAAATAACAAATGGTGGACAATATCAGAGATCATTTCTATTGATTTTCAATCTCAGTGATCAAAGTGATATGTTATGCAAATATCAAAGACCATTTTGATTAAAAATCATTTAAATTTTATATTTAAAATTTAATATCTTCTTTTTGAAGAAGGTTCCAGGAGCAGATTTTTTCTGAAGTTTTTGTGCATCCCTTGTGATGCAACATGGAAGAGATAAAGGGGCATTTCATTTTCCTTTTCATTTTCCATCATTTCCCAAGATGCCAAAGAAATCCTCTTCTGAATTTGACAAGTTATTATTACTTATCAGTGCTAAAACTGTTGCTCGTCAGCTGTATAATGTACGAGGTGGCAACGTGTAGATACTGGAAAATCAAAATTTGACTGACATTGAAATGTTGTTTTATTTATTTATTTTGTCATGATGAGATTTGACTTTATAAATTGCGTAGCTGTATAATGATGTTGACATGACAATCACATGTGTTTTATTTTTTATTTTTTTATTTGGTCGAAACATGTGTTTTACTTTTTGATACAACAAAATTGGCGTGAAGCCAAGTAGCCAACACTAGGGCTAGAAAAATATCCCGAAAATCCCTATCCCGAACCGAAATTATCCCGAAAGTTTTGGTTTTTGAAAATTTTCGATTCGGTTATTATCCCGAACTGCCCAGTTCGGTTTGGTATTCGGTCTAGCATCTGTGAATTTCGATTTTTTCCAAACCGAACCAATTTTAGAATATTACCTCAAAAATGAGGCCACAAGGATTCGAACCCCTTATCTCCTATTAGGAATCATGGAACTTCACCACTAAGCCAACTCTCGATTGTGGAGAGTATAATACAAAAAATATATTTATATGCTTAATAACCATTAGTTACTTATACTTAACCACGGAGCCAACTCTCTATCTCACACTGAGACTCTCACTAACCTCTCGGATCTCTCTACACTCTCTCATCTCCTCATTTGCTATGTCAACATCCTCGGATTCAACACTCTCTCTAATCCCTCGAATAGTCTCTACACTCTATGCTCTCCTCCTCCTCCCTTTGTCACAAACTCAACACGTTGGCCGTCAATTCATTGACCACTACACCATATTCCAAATCCAAACTTCCATGATTCCACCTCCAATGACCTCCAAATCGAAGCTTCTCTAATCTGAAGGTGCCAAACTTCATGAAATTATTGTACCTTGATTTGGATTTGGATTCTGAAATTGAGGATAAGGGTTTTGAACTTTCAATTTGGGGATTTAGAATTAAAATTAGGATTTTTGTTTTGAAAATCCCCGAATTTCAGTTACTGCATGCTTGATTCTTTGTATTTTTCTGCTTTTGAATTTTGATCAACGGCTTCTTCGATCCTTGACTGTCTGATTTTTGATGGGTTGTCTGCAAATTTGGGATTAGGGGACTGGAAATTTGTTATTTGGGGACTGGATTCATTCGATCTTCCTAAATTAGGTTGATATCTTATGACGACATCCATTCCTGATCCCGAATCGAAAAACCGAAACAATTTCAGGATTCCCGAAATTCAGGAATACCAAAATTCGGATACGGTTTCGGGTTTTAGAATCGTATCCGAAAAGAGTTGGTTTGGGATTCGGGCTTTGGGTTTCGGTTCGGGATCCCGACCCCGAACCACCCTTAGCCAACACATTGAGTTATTCAGAATTTGATTTTTTTTTTTCAAAGTAGATTATTTTCATTAAATAAAAATAGTAGTACATGAAAAGGAGAGTCCAAAAAGCAGTCCATAACCTAAATATAAGTCCAACAACAAATAAAAAAAAAATGCAATAAAAAGGCTCAAAAGTGGCCAGATGAACAACAACAAAAAAACCCTAAAACTGGAATGAAATCCAACAGCTACAAATGTGCCTCTATCGCAAGGCGGCCGCCACCACCAAGACAATGAACCAATGAAACAACTATATGAAAGCAAGCCACCCGAGCAGTGAGCACTCTCATAATCCTACCAAATATTGCACTTTAACAGCTACCCAACACATGAGGAGAAGTACACTGGCCGAGTAATTGAGGCTGGTGGTTGAGGACGTGTAATGGAAAGTAGCAACGAAGAAAGAGAAAGGGCCATGAAAGTCCAGACTTGAGACAAGTTCAGGGAAATTGAGACAAAGTTCAAGGAAAGCCAAAACAACGGCCAAAAAAGAAAAATGCAAAAAATTAAAACCTTTCGAGTGGGAAGGATGGAGAAGAGGAAAGATGCAAAGGGTGGAAAATGAAAGGGAATAGGAAGGAGGGCTAGAAGAAGGTGGGAGTCAGGCTACTACTGACCCCAAGCTGGAGCAAAGGGCAGCGGCTAGGGAGGCTTTCAAATCTAGTTTGATGGGTGAGATGGCATGAGTTTGGGAGAGAAGTAGCTTTTTTCACTGTCTCATTTTTCAGAATCTAGTTACGTACAAGACCTCTTAGTTATCAATATAGAGAAATACTACTCGATTATAATATTAATTGCATCCCATATTTGAACACTCAGAAAATCATGTAGTTTCCTCAAATATTTACTTTCATCCTTGGAGGTTTTTTTTTTTTTTTTTTGCTTTTTCGCCCTTTTACTAATTGATGTATTGGACTAGGACTAGAGTAAAAACAAAGCGATGCTAAAAAGACAGAGAGAGAGAACTACTGTTTGATTTTTTTGAAGTATGATATGCATGTGCTTTAGGAGTTGATCGAGTAATGTTAGAGAGACTAAATTTGTAGACTAAATTTGCAAATTAAATGATGTGTCACAAATAAGAAATAAGCACGCTTATCAACGTTTAACTAATAATCCACTTATTAACTTCCATGTCATTTAGTTTATAAAATTTAGTCTTCTTAACATTACTTTTAGGAGTTATGAGCATCTATGACTTATACATATTCTACCATGATCCGTATAGGTTTATTTCTAGTTTATCTGGTTTGTTAAATTTTCTTAACTCTACAAAGTTTCGATATTAGAATTCTTAGCAGTGACTTGTTCATACAGTAACCTAATCTTCTTGCTTAAAATTAAGAATTTCAGTTATTTGAATCGAGCCTATATTTCTGAGTCAAATGTTGTGACATAATATTTACTTATGTGGCCCATCTGTAGTTGACATAATATTTACCAATTATATGGTCTATCTTACTTAAAATTAAGCTTTTGCACGTTGGTTTTCTTTGGTAATTTTTTTAATATTTGCCACCCTTGTATTCTTTTCTAATTAGGTTTCAACCTACATCGTTTGTTACCACACCAAAAAAAAAAAAAAAAAAACCTACTTAAAAAAAATAATAATCAACGCATAAAAAACACA